TATAAGTAATTTTTAACATAAATATAAAGATATTTCACAGATTGCTTTCCAATGGTATTTGTTTTAACACAATAATAATAAATTATTAATTATTATTAATAATACAGAGATATTAATGTTTTGTCTCAAAACACATTGAGTGATGAAAAATTATCGTTTTATGTTTGCTTTTATTATCTATTTATTAAATTTTAGCCCAAAAAACAACATAAGAATTTTGCCTACAATTCGTGTTTCAAATTTTTATAGTCAAATAGAAAATATAATTTAAATTCTTGTTATTTTTTACGACAAACAAATCATTGCTTTTAGTGAAATTAATCTCAACGTCTAATTGACTATAACCAGTGGTGTAGTCAATGGATCCGCACATCTCATAACATCGCTGGTAGACTAGACTAAACAACATTAAGACAGTTAAGCCCTATAACTATTTTACCAACACTTTTTTGTTTTTTAAATACCACCCATTTTATGGCATTATTGCACTTCACTTTGTAATTACCATTTGAATCGTTGGCTGAAAATTATGTTATAAATTGATTTATTAACTCAATACAGAGTCAAACCTCCGTTCAATTGTGAGATGTTTTTTACTCTATAGTAAACGGATTTTTAACGTTAATATCTATTCAAATCAATACTAATTGGTTGAAATGTAGCACGAAATGTGAAACACGAAATAAATTACAAATAAATAATAATCTTTATTGTTGTTAATTTTGTCAATTTAATGCATTTTTTAAAATCTCTCTACAATTTAATATTAAACCTATGATTGAGTTTTATGTATAACTTCTTTGGTCAGCATTAATTGAAAATTTAATTACAAATTACTTTGACTGATATCTTACATAAACCGTTCAACAATAAGTGTATAATAAGTCTTATTCTTTTAGTGAAATTAAAAACTCAAACAAATTATACAATAAGTTATTACATAAATTATATGGACTATCAATGTATAGATTAAGACATTTGTTGATCGCATACAGCCATCGGTCGGTATAAATATTATCACATTTTATTTATTTAAATTTATATTTAAACATTTTTGTTCACTTTCTATATAGCGTTTCAATTCTGGTATCAATGCCTATAATTGTGAGCAATAATAATGGGTTTCAACACAAGAATTGAACCACAATTTTGTCAAAACAATCAATTCAAACAAGATTTGCCTCAAAGTCTCGTATAATTACAAATGACAAAAGACTATAATTACAAATACACGTGAAATGAACATGTACATTTTAAAAGTTATCCGAATTGAAATATATTTATTTAAAATTCAAAATTATTAGTAAATAGTGTTTTATTTTATTTTCAATACATTGAGATAGAAATGGATTGATTCGCGTCAAGAGATACTGAAACAATGTTTTAGCATTTTTAGCAATAATCAATTGATTTCATTTGAAACAAATATCAATTATACGAATCAATTAGTTTTTAATATTGAAATAAAATATTTAATAGTCAAAACATTTCTAAACTAAACTCTCAGTATAGACTCTATAGAGTGTAGTATCAAATGCCGTCAAACGTGTATTGAAGTATTTATTGCGACCAAACTGAACAAGATTAAATACTAATTCTTTTGATTATTTATTCTTAAAGTACTTAAAGTATTTAAAAATTATTTTGATTAAAATAATAAATTAACTTTAATTGTGTAGCAAATTTACCCGGCGACAATTTTAATGCTCGTTACTTTATTTGATTAAAACACAAATGATTACAAATAATAATAATAATATGATATATAATGGGAAAAAATTGACGATAAAAACGGGACTTTTTCTCAATGAGACTCGACTTTGATATACAGGGAAAATACAATCATTTGGGAGCGGGAAGTGCTCTGAAGTTTATTCCGGTATATGAACTCCTGGGTTACCGTACGGTTGAGTGCGTTGGGATCCAGTTTCATACTCCCGCGCTCCGGGATCTCCACCATCGACACCACCTTCTCTACGGGTGCGCCCACTTTCTTGTCCACGGGTTTGGCTTTATTTGGTGTCCATATTGTGTAAACAATATATGCCAATAAAGCAACGGCCAGTCCTGTGAACACCAGTATCAGTGCAATCACTATCATCTCAACCGATTCCATGGCTCCTGTAGTTTGAAAATGATTTGTATTATTATTGCATTAATTGTCAGTTTTATCATTTGATGGACTCTTTCCTCAATTGTGATATTTGTCTCAATTTGTGGTTACTTTTCAAGAAATATCTGTAACTGGATTTATAGTTGAAACCTATTATCTGTAATGCAATAAGTTATATATTTTTTATTTTGATCAAATATTTTATATAATAATGTGTTAAAATGCCTCAAATATTTTGTTATATTTTAAATTTGAAAAAAAGTATGACTCTTGTGGTGACCACATTAGTGGTCAATCGGGCACTAAAAAGCATTCAAAATCCATTTCGATTCGGTGATTTTATTCGATGGGACTAATGTTAATGACAGGTTTAACACGGGTAATGTTAAGTCTAGGGCAATGCAAACCCTATGGTCAGTGTTATGTCTATGGGACTAATGCTAATCCTGTGAGAATAATGCTAATTCTATGGGAATAATGCTGAATCTATGGGAAGTCTACTGTTACATTAAATATGTAAATGATGCTAATCTATTCTTATTTAAATACCCGAATTGTGGTTAACGTAAAGCATCGCTTTGTGGTCATTATTATCATGAAATAAATGCATTTTTAGGATTTAAAAAAATTAAAATAAACATTTCGGGACCAAAAATAGGCTAAAATCAGGAAAATTCTTAAAAAATTGTTTAAAAATATGCTTATTTTTTTTAAAACCTAAATATTTTTTTAATATTTTATATTGATATAACTTTTGCCAACGAATTTGTTATTGTTGGATACGGATAGATCACAAATCCTGGCCTAATATCTTTTACCGAGATCATATTTTTTTAAAATATGAATTTAATGCACTAATGATCAGTGGTTTTCTGTTTTAATTCACTATTTATTTGTTTTTAAAAATTATTATAAATGCGAGAAACTATCAAATATCGAATTAATAATTGTACTTGCTACAGTAGAAGACTATCACCAAATGGATCCACTAATAGCTGCAGTTTATGTCTTTAAAAATGTCAATTATTTCGTAATAAAACTTGAAATTAGCGCCAAAAGAAATGTTTCCATTTATTTTTGACCACTAATTGTCACTGAATCTGATCCAGACATGGAAGACCCAACCTTCTGGAACTAATGAATGTCTAATTGTCTTCTTCTGGAGTTGAAACACCTGTTGAAATCAACGCTGTGTTGAACTACACATGAAATGCACACAAATATTAACAATAAATGCACAAATCGACGGCCAAAACAGGATTAAGTCCACGCTTTCGGCCACAAACCATCACTTGAGTTGATCCTAACTTCTTATACCAGATCTTTACAACAAAAACCACTCCATTATCGCACAACATAACGCAATTATCACTAAAAGGTCTTCACTTTCAATGCACGCAAACACTATAGAAGTCAAGCAATGCATGCATTCATACATCTATTTAATGAAAACACTTATGAATTCGAAAAATAAGTTTTTATTAATTTTTATACTTAAAACTTATGATAAGTTTTGGAACAGCACTCGTAAGCACTGAATACAACACAAATGGCATATAAATTATACTGAATTTAACAGCAATTAACATAAATTGTAATAAAAAATGTGATTTTTAATATGTAGTTTACACTAACGAGTGTTCACTATTACTAATAGCTGTCCAACCATTTGAAATTCATATTATGCGCAAGGTTAAAGTGAATCAAACGGTGTGAACTGTTACAGCATTAAGAGAGAAAGTGATCTGAGAAAGTGAGAAAGTAATCTCAAAGGTTGGGCAGCTATTAGACTGAAAGATTAAAAATAATGCACTCATAGCTAAGGGAAAGGGGTTTTAATATAGGCTTAAAAGGAAATATTTTACAGTTCAAGTGGCGTAGACCATTTTAATTAGTATGGACATGTTCAGTACGGTTCACAGATTAATTTACTGTAGAGATAATCGGCGAATGGCCAGAAATGACCGAATTATGTACAAAATTCGAAATAAATACATAGCATCTAATGCATAGACTTGTGGTGAAAGACCTGTGATATGTGTGATTCACCATTTATTACAACTTTTCATCATTCATCATACCTTTAACGTTGCCTAAATTCAATTGAATTCTATGTATTTATTTCGAATTTTGTACATAATTCGGTCATTTCTGGCCATTCGCCGATAATCTCAACAGTAAATTAATCTGTGAACCGTACTGAACATGTCCATACCAATTAAAATGGTCTACGCCACTTGAACTGTAAAATATTTCATTTTTAGTTCTTACTAAGAACTTCTTAGGTATTAAACACCGCATTGTTGGGCAAAGTGTTGGGAAAACGAATGAATGGTTTCAATGGGAAGTCTGTCTGACATCTGGCGGATAGGAATCGGTTATTGAAAATATAGTTTTAAACAATTACTAAATAACTAATCAAACAATTTATGGACACTAAGGAATTACTCCCTCAACTTACCCTGGATAATCAATAAGTTGATCTATCATTTAGTTGATCACTCTGTAGTAACTGTACGAATGACATGTAACACGTAATGTATGGGAGAGGGCGGCAGTGATCAACTAAATGATTGATCAACTTATTGATTGTGTTGTTAATTATTATTTCACAAAATTAAAATACTTACGAGTTTGTATAAAACTAGTGTTAGACAAATACCTAATACTAAAAACCCATATTATTGTAAAGTTTTAGTATACACAAGAATTCAATTCATCTTTGTATTAAATTAGTATTTTATTTACAATTAATATGTTGTATAAAAATTAATATTTTTATAATGAACGAGAATTTCAAAATATAATATGAAAACTATTTGCAAATAAAATTATTTAAAACTAACAAAGAATTACTAAATGAATAACAATCTAATGAAATGTTGAGTTAACTAAACGACTTATTAGCCTTTCTTTTGGACCAATACTTAGCCCTCCAGTAAATGAGTTCACTCTTCGGGCTATTGAGACAAGTGTTGAGCACCGACTCCAGGGGTTGACTCAATCGGATCCAAGCGTAGTCACGCGGCGGCCGATCGATGGCATCAATAAAGCCCTTCCCCTTCACTAACACTGTTAGGCACAGTCCGTCGTGCGAGTGCTCCGGCACTCCGTTGTGTTCAACAGTGAACACACCTAATGGCCAGTGGTTTGCGATATTAGATGTCATGAATATCCACTATCAGAAACGGACAGACAATACAATCAATTAAATGTGATTTAAAACCAAACATTAAGACACGCGGAGGCAAAAAGAGGCCAAATAAATACCTTAATAAAATTATTTAACGTTACGTTCAGACTATTTGTCGGATGGATATCACAGACGGGCAGATGAGGTGACGGCAACTCTGAGACCAACACGAATTGGCTATTGATTTATAAACATTGAAATTAATTAAAACACATTTAAGAAATGCAATTATTTTACTCACTCTCGACGCCTCTCGACAGCAAAGACAAGCCTTAAAAGCGTCCGATTGTGGCCTTCAATGGCGACGAATTGGGAACCGATGAACGGATTGTAAGACTTGTCAGACTTGCGGACGAATTCAATCATATTCAACGTGTCTTCGCTGCGGAGGTTAGCCTTCTGGAGGAACTGTTGCGAACACCAGAGGGCCTGAATTGATTCCGCGTCCGCAACGGTCTTCAGTTGGCCGCCAATCACTCGCGCCGTAAACGTAAACCGAAACCAATTACCGCCAGAGCTCTCGACGACCACCAGAGCCGTCGGCTCGATCTCGAGGCCCGACTCTTCGAACGCTTCCCGTTTGACTGCGTCTACGATCTGTTCGTTTGGCTCCGCTTTGCCCGACGGCAGAGACCACTTGTGCCGACACTTGGCCTTTGACTCCTCTATCATAAGCACCTCATTGTCGTCGTTGAAGATAACGGCCGCCACTATATAGCGAATGCTTTTGCCGATTATTGGCTCCGACTTTTGGCTCTTGTTTTTGGACACAACTCCTGAGTTGAAGACAAATTCATTTCATTTATTAATATATTTTTAATGACTCTCTCTCTCTCTCTCTCTCTCTCT